CAAAGGTGACAATTTCCCCTATATGATAGTTACTAACTTCAAATCGATATATCTCGATTCCTAGACGTGACCCAGCGAAACGCCGGGACACGTATAACTTCTTTTTTACCGATATAACTTTCCCCGGTAGTTTGAACCCTTCCCGATCACTGACCCCTACCATTTGTCTCACAGTGTAATATTTCATATGTTTTAATTTTGAGCGGCTCAGCCACTCAGCTGCTCACCGCTTTGCCGCTAATTGCTTGGCCTCGGCCTTACGTTCCAATGTAACCTAATGGGCTTCGCTCTATAGCTTTCAAGTAGTTTCTGCCTTATTCCAAATTTCCAGTGGATATTAAATGACACAAATTTTACTGAAAAATTTGGATATTAATAATTTATTAATTATTTATTATAATTTACAATGTGACTCAATGCCTATTGATCTCGTTGTGTGGTATGTTATCAAATTGCAGTTATTATCCCAAAAGCCAGTTGCCCTACTAAACTTTGAAAATGCAACCAGACCTTAAACACCTTAGTGCCATTTAACTGACTTAATAAATGCAGATGCCGTTATTTTTATTTATTTTTTGATCCAGATGCTTTCCACTGCAATCATCGCCCATCACCCTTTCAAGTTCAGTTTTTATTTACTAAGGAAATTTCTCTGGACTCTGTTGCTTTATTTTGAATTAAATTTTACACTGACTTTTGAACCAAATACTGACTGACGAAAAACTAAAGTCCTTTAAAATCTCTAAACTAACTTTGAGTTTTTGCCTTGTTGCTAAAAAAGGCGCAGCAACTCAGCCCGCATTTTAATCAACTTAAAAAAAAATTGTATTCTCTCTCCCCAAAAATGTGATTTTTTTACACTTCGCATGCTTCTTTTCGCGAGCACCAGAAGCAATTGAAGATTTTGCAACTTAAAGTCTAACTTTTAATATATCACATTTTTCAAAAACTTTTTATTTTAACAATTCATTACGACAATTGCTTTTTCAAATATTCCTCCATTCACCACGCCTCTACATTCCTTTATAGCTTTACAGTAAAGTGCCCCATCATGCCTGTCAATCTACCGATCTCTCTACTTGTGTTCCAGCCGCTGCACGTTTACCGCATAAACCGCAATCGCATCAATCGTCGTTAATGATGCTCATATTTTTATTGTAGCAAGTTTCAATATAGCGCCGCACAGTGTAACGAGCCTACATAATGCGGGGCAAAATAATATTAAAAGTATAAAATGGCTTGGGAATCGAAAAATTAAAAATATGTCAGTGTTAGATTTACTGACGCGCGCCTCAGCAGCTGCATCTACTACGAGACAAAAGTCGTTTGCAGTATAGCCATTTCATTGAAGCGGGCCTGATTTGTCATTTCATTTGTACATAAATATGTTCAATTGGATTTCCTCCATTATTTAGGTAGTTGATCGTAGCTCGATCTAAGTCGGCGATTGCTGCCCCCCTGCTCGTATAAAGCGCAGTGTAGACTGGTAAGTTAGTGAAGGCTACTCCAAGTGAATTCCTCTGCCCACGTTGTTTTTAACCAGTGTTCCATCAGTAAAAAAGTCTAAAGATTTTGGGTCTAAATCTCAGCAGTTTTCCGATTCGCCCCTCTCGGAAATTCTGGTGGTGAACTTTTTGAATGCAGAATATTGGACTCGCTAAAATCCGCTGTGGAGTGTCTGAACCTAAAGCTCTCCAGCTGTGCGCTGTTTTCAATATACATACAGTACTTCCAACAAGAATCCAAACGGATTAGTAAACCTGTGTTTTTAATTTTTTCACCATCACATCAGAATTTTTTTTTAAGGAGCTCAAGGTTTCTATTACGGGTCAACGTTATAAAATTATCATGAACCTATAAAAGTATGTAACGTAGACATATGGATATCAAATGAAAGAAGAATTCCAGAAGATTTAAGGAATATACATTTTTTCATAACAATTCACGCAAAGGAATGTGAAATTGTTTTAAAATTTTTGTCCTTCAATATCCTTGAGGAGTTTAAATGTTTTTCTGCAACAATTGTTATAAAAATATATATTTTTAAATTCTCCAGATATTCGTCTTTCAATTTACGCCCTTATGTCAATATCATTCAACTTATATATTTATGACACTTTTTAATGCTGTGTTCTAACTGAAATTTTAAGGTCTTTTAAAAAAGATTCTGGCGGAGTAGTGAAACAATAAAAACGCAGATTTACTACCATTGAACCTTAGTAACGCGCATTTTTTTCACGTATGAGGATAGTACTATTTCACGGTGTTATAAGTCTGCGGGAAGAAAAAATTTAGAAAAAGTCTAGAACCTTGCAGAGTGTAGAGAAAATATTATTTGTACGTAGATTTGTCTAATATCCTCTGGCATCCAGACAGTGAATTCATAAAAATGACACAGTCAAACGACCGTTGGGTACTACACGCAGCCTTATTTACCATCTTTTCGCCACAACCGCGTCTAAGGCGCACATTGTGGTTACGGCCGTTTAAAGAAGGTCCTTAATGTTACGATCAAGCCTTCTATCAAGAATTGCACCGATGCATTTCAAATGGCATTTTGCACTTACACGTGAGCAGTACCAATTTGGGTTTCTTGGAATTAATGTTAAGTTCCTTTTTTCTAGAGCACTTTTTAATAGCGCGAAGAATGTTCTGTTGAAGCATGGGCTTTGGCATGTCAGCCGATATTCTACAGTCTCAAAAGAATTATTAAGAAATGAGAGTAAATCGAAATTGCATTATGGGTTTATCAATATTGGTTTTCTTCACAAAGAGGAGGCCTTCTTTTTTGTGGAATTATCTTTTCAATAAATGCTACACTTGTGAAAACGAACACTCTGCGCTGACCTGTCCTCAAATCCGGGACCTTCTGATAAATGACAGTTTACAGCTCTACCCATTCGGCTACGGTGATCGCCTTACCGATACTATTCTGTTTAGTAATGTGAAATTTAAATTAATTCGCATACAATTAAGAAGTGCTACTTTTCAATGAATTCGGGAAAACATTTCATAAAATTAAGAAGCGTTTCTTTTTAAATGATGCATTGTAGCAGATTTTCTTTATGATTTTTTTAAAAGATATTCTTATAAATAAAACCAATACGAATTTTCACATAAAATCAATAAGGAATCTCTATGAAATCTTCTTCGTTTTTTCGTCACTTTTACACCGAGAAACTTTTCATAGAGGCAATCTTCTTTTTTCTAAAGGCTGCTTTAAACGTAAACTTATTTATACATATTTACTAAAATTTTATAGGCTGTAGAACTGCAAATAGTTTGGAAACAATGGTTTTGGTTAAAGAATAAAAAATATTTTAATAAAAAATTATCAAAAAATTTTTCTTAAAAAAATTCTGAAAATAAAAAAATCACCATGTCAACCACTGTATAATTAAGTGTACGGATTTTCACAAACTTCCACAACTTGATTTCGAGCTCAAACAGCCAATTTTACGAAAGCAATTTAAGTGAAAAATGATTTTAATTCTTTGAATTTTGTAAGGAAATTGACAGAAAAAAAATCATTTTCCACTTAAATTGCTGGTGAAACCGGGTATAAAACTTAAATTATTTGTGTGCGTGTCTAATTTAATCCGGGAAATTTACTCGAAATTGAAACTTGGAATAGGCCATATAAGTAGTATTTAAATTTCAATTCAATCTTGAAAATTTTGTATAGTTTCTAATAAAAAAAGTGATGGAGTGATTTTTCCAAGTATTTTTTTTTTTTTGCCACTTTTTGTTCCCACCCATTACACCGTGCAGCGCTGCAGCAGCTACCCTTATTGCGTTCACGCCAACGCACACATTTCATCGCGACATTTCAACTCTGATTGTAATGCGTATGGCAGTGCTTTTGTGTAGAGAGTAAATAGTATTTTGGACCATGATTTACATTTCGCGTTTTCGATTCACATAATTTTAAAAATTTTTCTTTTTATTTTGTGAATTTGTCATTTCACCAAATTTAGGCAATTTACTCACGCGTGGCGCGTGTCTGCAAATGGGACAAGGGTGGGCCGCATCGTTTTCGCAATCGCTGGACATCATTCCTGAAATCGCGCCTCAACTGCTCAATACCAGGCGAATATCCATTCTATTTCAATGAGATACGTAAGTAAATATGTTTATACGTAGAGTAATTTTTTATTGTAATCACTTTCGATACTTTCCATGTGCGTGAATTGCCGCCTCCTACGACATTTGCAGTGACATTAAAATTAATGTTTAGAATTTTAGAGATTTTTGTAAGCTTTTTTTTGCTTTTGTAATGGCAACTGGCAGCAATTCACGCGTTTATGCCTAAAAAACCAGTTTTTTTTAATATGCCACCATTGAAAACTTTTTTTTTTTTTTTTGAAATTCATGCAATTCATTTTATTCATTATTTATTTCTTTACTTTCGCGATCGCCATCGATGATATTGGCTCTGGCACTACTACTACTGGGGTACACACACACCCCATCTGCTATTTGACAACCAACAACAACGTAAAATTTACTTTGTTGCCAACACAGAATCGGCCAGCAATCTCGTCGAAGGACACTATGGCCACACAAGCGCCAAATTGATTTATGGCGTTTTTAATACGCCAACAAATTCAATTCCCGGCTCAGCAGTTTGTGCATTTTCATTGCAGGTAAGTTGGCTTTCTCTTACAACCTACCACTCACCACCCATGCTATGCTTTTAGGGGCGAGCGCCTCTTCTGTCTGTAAACATTTCGGGCGCTCGCTGTTACTTCCCCTACTAGCAATTTTATTGATTTTCCGCCTTGCCGAATTCGTGTTTAATTTAATTTCATATACAAACACACTTACATACATATTTACGCGCAAATATTTTTATTTTGCTTTCCATTTGCAGAAAATTGCCGACACATTCGAGGGCAACTTTAAGGAGCAGAGCAGCATTAACTCAAATTGGTTGCCTGTCAATAATGCCAAGGTTTGTATGTGTGTATGTAGATATTTTAAATACGCGGACAATTTTTTCTCAAATTTTTCATTATTTTTGCAATTAAAATGCCACACTTTTCAGTATTTTTGTTGATCCACTTAAATGCCTTGATATGTACATTAGGGTGTATTACCAAAATATATTTGATTTTATGACACCCACCATAATATTTCGAAAAATATAAGCATTTACCTCACGTAAATGCCGATTTAAAAATACCTCAAAAAATATCATTATTTTGATTACGTTGATAAAATTTTTAAATACTTTTACGCAGACTTTTTCTATTAAGCTTAGAGGGCAATTCTGACAGCTGTATCTCAACTTATTGGAAGATCTGCTACCGAGAAGGTCTTAACGTTATGCTACTCGCCTTTTAGCAGTTTTTTTAAAATTGAATTCAATTTAAATTGCATTAAATTGAATTGAATTGAATTAAACAAACATACATATATAATTAAAATGACCAAAAATAAATAAATAATTATTTTTTTAATTAAATTAAATTACAATGAAAACTTCTTGCCTCCTTAAAACAATAAAATATAAAATTTAAAATTTAAATAAAAAAATTATAATTAAATAAAAAAATATGTATCTAAAAATTTAATTAAAAGAAGACAAAAATGTAAATCAAATAAAATAATATGCTGAAAATTAAATTAAATAAGAAGAAAATATTTGTATTTTAAAATAAAATCTAAAAATTAAAAGTTAACAAAATAAAAATAATTGAATTAAAAAAAAAGGAAAACAATAAAGAAGAAGTTTCTAAAAATTAAAGGAAATTATAAAAAATATTATTGTTTTTTAAATATAATCTAAAAATTATAAAACAGTAATTAACAAAAAAGAAAAAAATTTATTTAGAAAACGAAAAAGATAAGATTAGTTCCTAAAAATTAATTGAAAAACAATTCTTTTAAAACAATAGCACGTAAACATTAAACGGAAACTAAATTGAAAAAAAAATAACAAAAATAAACAATCAAATCCAACAATTAAATTCGAAGAAAAGAAGAAAATAGCATCTAAATATATACAAATTATATGACATTTAAAAAAGGCACCGAAAATATAAAAACAAAATAAGATCCTGAAAATTAAATGAAGTAAAAATTTATTTTCTTTTTTAAAACAATACAATTTAAAAATTGAAAGAAAATGAAATTAACAAAAGAAAAACTATTTAAAATAAAAACAGAAAAACAAATAAAAAAAGGTTGCAAAAGAATATCATTATTTTTTAAATGAAATCTAAAAATTAAGACGAAATTAAACTGCAAAAGGGGGAAAAAATATTTGAAAATTAGAGTAATAAAATAAGTTCCTAAAAATTAAATTTTAAAAAATATTCTTACTTTGAAACAATTAAATCCAAACATTAAAAGACATTTTAAATTGAGAAAGAAAAAATTAAATAAAACTAAAAAATTATTTTTTTATTTTTTTTAAACAGTAATATCTAAAGAAAAAAAAAATGTTGATACAATAAAAGAAAAAAATCCGCTGCCCCAGGTTTCAAACTCGGACCTCTCGATCGATTGTTGGAGGTATTTTCAAATGTATGCAGCTTACGTAAATCTTAAAGTTTTTCGAAATATTTTGGCGGTGGACTTTAAATATAATAGATTTTATAATTTCGATGAAAAAATAGTACCCATGTTTATTTTTGTAACGGGAGTTATTCAACCTAATGTACCATATGTACATCGTATATATCGTATGTGTGACTGTGTCAACTGCGTCGCTTTATTTCTGAATATAGTATATGTATTTACATATATGCATACATTCAATTAAATTGGCCTCATCCGCAAGCGCTTAACCATTCATTTTTATTGATATGCCACAAACCGCAAATGATGTCGCAGTCGCACACTTCCCTACTTGCGCATAACCAAACTGTCTGAGTTCATGTATGTATGTATTTGACTGAAATGCGCGCAAATTAAAATTCATTTAATCGTGATTGACTTTTAATGCGACTACATAAACATGTGCTTAATCGCGTCTGTAGCACATTTGTGTCGTACTACTTTGGATTATTTAAGTGGCCAATTAGTGAATATATGTACAGTGAATATAAGTACGTACTTACACCAAATAAAAAAAAATAATGTATCATCGGAAAGTATCAGAAATTTATTTACTCAGTTACTATGGGTGTGTACGTAAATCTAGTGGGTCAGAAAGAAAAAAGTATTCCACCGTTTCATCCACATCAAGGCAGGCAGGTAAAAGGGGTTGTCATATGTTTTGTTTTTTAGAGGAAGAAACATCGAAAGCCAAAACTCAAAACCGTCAGTTTGAGATTTTAACTCACTAAAGCATCCGTTACTGTACACATTATTCAACTCACAGTTGGCCTTGGTTTGGTATTAAACCTACCCACCCCATTGGTTATTTATTGCTGCTTATTCGATTAGGTGAGGGGCTCGAGCTCTTCATACCGTGACTTTCTTTTCAAGAAAAATGGGATTTTTATTTGCCCTGAGCCCGATAATATAACGTGGCTGCTTTTTACCTCGCTTGTTGTTCTTTCCCTAGCCTCATTTGCTAGCTATTGCGCAGTGGCTGTATCACTAAGGCAAAAGTGGCTTCAAAATCCTTCAAAGCGTATTGGCTCTGCACTACCATTGGGATTAGTGTTCCGGGTGTAACTACGCTGCCGTAGTGTTCAACAAATTTCCTATTCTGAGTGCTGAACCGAGTACATGTAAAGACGACGTGCTCCGCATGCGCAATTTTATCAGGATGACAGTAGTCTCAGTGTGGATTACTTTGATGCCCAAAACGGTGGAGGTAGGACTTAAATCTACCTCCGAAGCCTTGTGTTGCACTATCCGACCTCATTTGCCACTATTTTGTCTCAATAAGCAGTGGAGAATTTAATTTCCCTCGTGCTTAGCTTTTCTTTTTCCAACCGCTTCCTTTGCCAAGAGATCGAGCGGAAGCAACCCAGATATAACAGGTTCTGCATCTTCCGAAACTGTTCTGTTACTGAGCATAGTCCTAGCGCGTATAAGCGATAGGTTTCTTTCATTCTCTAAACGTACGATGAGCGTTTAAATGCGTCTAACCAAGTTGCAACTCCATACAAGAGTATAGATTTAATTACTCCTGCTAGTACTTGTACAATCGCTTTACACTTTTGTTGTCATGTTTGCCGATCACAGTCATGTATTTGTGCCACGAGAAGTGTCCCGTCAATGGTACCAGAAGTTGTCTGCTCAAAAAATGCCAGTATCTATCAAGACCCTCTGAAATCGAGGCCAACATGAGGTTTTCCCACCTGCTCCTCGAAGCCTCGCAGTCATCGTTGAATGAAATGTTCACCCAGTTTCTGGCGGTGGCTGTGGTGGCCGTGGAATACATGGCCTGAGCCTTCCCTAACCAAATAGTCAGATGTCGTGGTAAATACTGTTGAGTGACATAGCGCTCAGGTTAAGAAAAGTTGTTTATGTTTTCCTTTAGTCAAGTCTTTCGTTGCTGAACCAGTTTGAAAATATGTAGTTAGAGGGCTGGTTAATATCTTGAGTGCAGTTTGGCAGCCACTACAGACTCTGAGTATTGCAAATACCTCACATTGGAATACGAAGGCATATTCCCCCAGCGATATAGACACCAAATCCTAGTTCTGTGTTAGTTTTAGAGCCTTCAGTTATTATTTCACAATACTCACACATTGCCCGTGTTGAGTGTTGGGATTAAGCCAGCGTTCAGCCGCGTTTAACTCAACATTGCAGAATCTCGTCAACAAAAATGATAACAGCGTACTATCCTAGGGAACCATGAGTATCCGGGCACAGTGGAATACCGTCAACTGCATGGCAGAGGAGTTTGCGAAGGGTAACTGAACTACGCTCAGAAAACTCTGTGCTCGATACAGGCGTTCCTCTGTCTTCGAGTATGTAGCGACTGATCTCTATTTTCTATTTTCATTGAATTGGCCAACGAACGAGAGGAAAAAGAACCAACATGTTCCGGTACAAAACAGCTCTGGCCAAATCGACCACCTCATTGTTAGCATAGTTGTCTTTATATTTACAAGACACTGGAGGTATATTTATAGGAGGAGGTGGAGAGTGTAGGACACTATCTCTGCCACTGGCCGGCTCTGGCAAGGTCAAAACTTGCTATTTTTAATGAACGATAAGTTAATATTACACGATGGTTCTATCATATGGGAAACTAAGGAGACCGTATAAAGTGGCATCACAATGGGTCAAATTGGCCTAAGTAGGTCTCTCTGCCGGTCTGTGCAGAGTGGCAACCACCGTAACCTAACCATCCTAGAGCATCAAGTCTGCCTACAGAAATTTCTGTCACACCTTACATTGTATTATAACAGCACCTATTTCCTTTAAGCCTGCAGGTGGCCTTTAAAAATTTCCACACGCGCAAACTTTTATCCACAAAAGCGAGGCCTCATCTGTTACTAATGCGTCGAATGCCCTTTTGTTCAATGTAGGGCTTCCGCGGCAGCTTACTATCCGGAGCTAAGCTCAAACAATTGACTATTTCACAAAATTCAGGCGGAACGCCCAAAATTAAGAAAGAAGTCCTAGTGAACAAAATAAGTTTTATTCTACTAAGATTTACGGCGAGTCCAATGTCTGCGTACCACTTAGTTACCGAGTTCTAGTATCCCTGGTTAGATCATACAGATTATGCAAGAACCGAACTCTTATGATAAGTGCAACTTCATTAGTATAAGCAATTATTCGAAAGTACCTTCACAAGTACACATCTCTGCTTTTCACATGTTGTGCAGTCAGCCTCTCTGGGGTGTTTTTAGTGACAACTTATTTAGACTAATTGGACACATATACATCCTGAACACTCTCCAAGTCGATATAATACACCAAGCCGGTACACATCTTGCGAGGATGGAAGCCGGCCAATTGTGCGATACCTCCAAATTCGCTCGCCCAAACAAGGCAACGCTTATCCAAAAAGTCACTCAAGGCAACCGCAATCTCACGCACCCAACCAAAGGCTGCTTCTTGAGCTGGGTCACATGGAAAATAGAGTCTTCGTTTTTCAAAGCACAATTTATCGCTAGTACCTTAATTTGTTCCAAGAAAATAAGGTCTTATGATGGATTCATAACATCCTTCGATGTTTTTGCAAAAAATTTGCCATGCACCCCTCTCAGCATTGTTCATCTCGGAATTGTAGATTCCTAGTCTCATTATATGAAGTTCGCATTCCGAGGGTAACTAAATTCTATGGACTTTATTAAAGAGTCGTCTGCTTTTCGCCTAACTTTAGAGAAATCGGCTGATCACCAGAGTAACTTTCCCTCTATACTTGCAAAGCCCTAAGTGTATGAGTTCTTAAGTTGCCTCTGTCTATAGAGGAGAAAACTTCGACAAGTTCCTCCATCGAACACCCGGAGTTCAAGTGTCAGGCTTAGTGTTAGGGCTGAACAGAGTTTGAGTTTCCTACAGTAGACACATGCTAACTGGAAAAGCTGTTTGAGTAAATTTAGAGAAATAGCTGTTCACCCGTAAGCCAAAATCAAAAATTTATCTGACGACGCTATCTGGGAAAACCACTTCACTTCTAGGCCTAAAACTCGATTTATCCATCAAGGCTACCTGGAGTGTGTTTATTGTGAAGATGTCTCTACGACCCTTGATGATATTGGAGCAGGCGTACGTAGAGTGAAGCATTCAGTGCTCTTCAGAACCTTCCCAAACATCTTGCAGGCGTAAGGTTTTTGCCATTAGTCGCAAGAAGTATCCAAGTGAAGGGATCCTTAGATTAATTTATAGTCAGGCGGCACTTATGGTTCCTTAATTTTTCGAGGTGGAATTCTTATTGTTCCTGGGGTGTATAGCGAAGCCTAATATGCCTTAGCCGTGAACAATACAGACTACTCATATAAACCTTCTCAAGCAAAGACTAAAAATTATTACAGAGGCCGCTTGCATAAGCTAGGGTTCTGTCGCTTTTGTGACTCCGCCAAAGAAACATGACTGTACATCCTCCTGGAGTGTGGACCATTTCAAGGAGAGGGTAAAGGTGCATAGGATATTATATAGAAGAGTACATACATACCCTACCCGTGGGATCTCTTTTGAAATTTGTAGAGTCTTTAGGGCAAGATACAGTGCTTTGATGAGCTGAGGATACGATAGACGCACCGGTCGCAGTGCTTACTGTATTTATATCTCTCTAGCTGTCTAAGCTTAGAACTCTTTCCTGCCAGTTTTATCCTAGAAAATTTCACACAAATGCTAACATAAATACTGCCTTGTAACTTTAACCATCAAGAGCGTCTGATGACGATTACCTCAAGGGTATGGTATCTATTATATGTATACATATATGATTACGCTAGCCAGTTCTATGACCACAAAATAGCTAGCATTTTGAAGTCGTAAATGTTTAGCTTCCACATTGGCCGTTGTTTGAAATTGGTTAATATTGTTGATCTTTGTGCTTGACAGACAACCTGCTTAGTTATATGAGCAACACAACATTATTATGAAACAGCTTTTGATATTTTTTTTTAGTTTGTATGTATTAGTGTTTTTCCCGCCTTCTTCATATGAAGCGTTCACCGAAATGAAGATTAAAAATAAGACAAGTAAAAGAAATAAATGCACAGTCATCGTCAGTAACATCACAAAAATCTACACACACCAACTTTTGGCAAACATTCCTAACTGCATTACATACAAACTAAAGTATATTATTTCTCATTACAGGTACCCGAACCGCGTCCTGGTTCCTGCCACAATGATTCACGTACACTGCCGGAACCAACGCTGAATTTCATCAAAACACATTCGCTAATGGATGAGAACGTGCCGGCGTTTTTCGGTCAGCCAATTTTGGTCAGAACGAGCACAATGTAAGTACCGAGGAAGCTATTTTATACACACCATACTGGTAAAAAAAAAAAACAAAAAACAATAATAAGAAAAAAACAGGATGCTACCTATTACTATAAAAGCGCTTGCAAGCAAACTAGCTGTACATTTAAGAGCATATCCCATATATGTATGTGCATTAGGGTGTTCCAGAATGTATAAAAGGTAGGATGGCTATAGGACGACTATAACCCGTGCCAAGGGTGCGGATATTATGACTTGTATCGGCCCAGTCTCTCCTTTTAGGTGTGGTGAATATATAGGTATTGATCTTTTGTAAACAATTTGTGTCATGAGTGGTGGAGAAAGGGTGCCGTTCGCCTAGCAGAGTTACCTTGTGCCTGGATAAGGTTACATAGCTACGGAGTCACACCAGTAATCGAACTGAATGTCCTCTAGCACCTTTATTATTTAGCTTACTTACTTCCTTCCTGATTTTTAAGATAGCCAAATGATGAGCATCAGTTTTGGCTCTGCCATAGTTCATCAAGCTGACCCTGCGTCTATCAAGCAAGCTCATTAAACGCTCTTTTCTGGGCTTGCTTAATAAATGAGGGCGCAGAACGTCCGGTGTTTGCACTACAGGTCTCGCAGTTTGTTCCGCTTTCATCAGAGGGATTCGCCTTTTAGATGCGACTGAACCGTCTGAGATCTCGGTTGCGCCTACTTTGCAGAGATTTGACCGGCCGTTTAAAGTGGTGTAGGTGGAATTTTTTATTTTTAAGTCACGAGATAGATATCAGGCCTTTGATATGGCTTCATTGCTCAGCTGAAGTGGTCTTCACGAGACTTATGAAGGTCCTAAGTCACAGAGAGCGTCGGCTCCGATAGTACTTATCTCAATACAAAAACCCTAAAAGTGTATCGACTGCTGAGTGGAAGATCGGCCTATCTCTGTAGCCGGTTCGAAAACACGCTCTCTCAGAAAATAGCTCAAGAACACCCAACTTCAGAATTTGGCTGAAGAACGCCCTTTCTCTTAGAATTTGGCTGAAGAGCGCTCCATCTCAGAATTGGGTTCAAAAACGCCCGGTTTTTTATCGAATTCTGAAATAGGGCGTTCTTCAACCAAATTCTGAAATATGGCGTTCTTGAAAATGTGATTTTCGAACCGGCTACCGAGATAGGTCCATCTTCCACTCAGCTGTCGTATTATGAATAGTTGATATGATATTATGGATAGCACCTTAGATAAAAATGCTAAAAGAAATTATAAAACTTAATTTTGTAAGGATTGGCATACCTTTCAACAGATTTTACCGCAGCTGCAGGGAACCAGACTCAAAGGAGACAGTTGAACATTTTCAAGAGTGAGGCTAAAGAAGAAGACAATTGGCCAACCAGAATATTTCAGAGTACGGTAGCCTCTCACTGTGCGATATACTGAAATTTGGCAATACCACCAAGTGAGTGTATATTTACATGTGTTTGAGGTTGCAAGATTCCGAGCTGGCCGAGAGGTAGATCAGAACTTGTGTGACCAATTTTGGGGCCCTCAAGAGCCTGTTTGATGCTTTGCTATGCAAATAATTATATGTGGATTTTTCATAACGTGGTCACTGTGACGCGAAACTAATCGGCTACTTTCTCAATAGGGCCGTCTCTGTCGGAAATTTGAAAGCCTAAAACATGATTTCTAGTTCTGCTGTTCTACCGTCCAACTGCATACGCGAATCACAGATGCAATCCTACTTATTCCTTAGGGGAATGTGCATGCAAAAGTGATTTCTGTAAGCCAATATCGGTATAAAAGACTTTCGAATGACCAACAGTTTTATGTACTTGCGCGTGTACTCACTCTTTTCTTCACTCTTTGAGTCCACTCAAATGAGCTCTGCTAGGTAAGGTATAATTCAGATCGTAAATCTCCTTCTGATCAGTACGAATGCCATGTCCACGGCTAGCTGAGTATTTTATCACTAGGTTTGGTTAGGTTATCCTTGCTTTCCTCATACTGCACTGGAAAAGGACACACTTAGGCCACCACAGGCCCATTGTGGTGCCATATTAGAGACTCATTACGTCTCTCCTTTTTTTTTGTCACTAAGTTTAGTTTACCGTCAATAAGTTCGTACAGAGGTTCCAAAAATTTTCCAGTGATCAGTTTAGAACCAGTGATCGGACTTCTACCACAAAATTATAAATTTATTCATGGAAAATTTGGTTTGATTACTATTTAGAGATTAAGCTGATTTACAAGCACTCCGTTTCAATAATAAATAAAATAAAAAATATTAATCTGCTACGAAAATTTCGTTTTTGCTCCGATTTTTCGAGTCATTTACTCCTGAATCGAGTTTCAGTAGTCCGAACGCTGGGCGTTGTTTACTTTTCCTTGAGAATTGTCAAAATCGGTAAATCCCAATTAGCTGTTTCTGGAACGTGTCACATTTGTTCGCTACTTCGTGATGTGATAAAAAGAAAAGCTGGCAGGACTCCGCAAGGTTGCAGAAATCTTTTAAAATGTGTTCGAAAAATATCTTAATATGGACGGAACTGCTTTAAACTGTCAAGGAAAAAAATTGCCGTTTTGGCAACGCAATTTTTAGCAACTTCAATCTTTCATCTAATTAAAAAGTTTGCCAGTTAGGAGAAGCCTTGCAGAAACTTTTTTAATTTTTGTACAAATTTTGATCCAAACCCAGAGATCTACCACATTTTTTTTTGAAATCTACCACATTTTTTTCCAGATTCTACCACACAGAATTTTTTTTAAAGTCCGATCACTGTCACAGAACCCTCTGTTTCATGGTGCCAGAATGAGGTTTCCCTTTTCTATGCTACTTCATTGCGCTCCGTTGGCTGTAAATTCAAACTTCGATGAATTGAAAAAGCGAATGGAATCCGAAATTAAAAAGAAGATTAACGTTAAGATTAAGATTGCAAAATGATTAAAATTTTCTAATCACTTATCACCAGCGTGACAAACCACTAAAAGCAACCAAACAAATTTTCATGGACACCTTAATGTACATACATAAATACGTAAATATACAAATTTACCGCAAATTAGGTATTTTACAATTCGGTGCATGTAGAGGAACTTCTATGCCAATGTAATCGTACATCCCGCCTGCCTGGCTTTACGTATACTCTGCCCCGAAATCATTTCGGACGAGTCCTTGCAAAATGTCGTCAACTTCGTTTACATAACATCCGGCGTTGACTTTTTAGCTGACATTTAGGAAGCGAAATTGACTTTTTGTTTACCATTCATGTGTGCGTGTGCGCGATGTGGTTATATAGTGGTGCTTGTTGTGTTATATGCACACTACGCGGGCGTGCAAGCGATTGTGTGGTTATTTCTAAGCACGGTGGCAGGCAAATATATAGGGACGCAACATTTAAACAAGTTTTTATTTTGTTTATTTAATGTTTGTAAATTTTTTATAAAAGTATAGCTAACTCCAAAAAAAAAAAACATATACAGTGGGAAGCAAAAAGTAGTACAAGCTGATTTTTGTTGAATATTTGCAAGGTTTTTAAAGTTAAAATTTGTTTGTTATTTTTTTTTATAAATATATGGTTCACGCTTTAAACAAAACCATATAAGTCAAACTTTTAAGCTTTATACAGAGCTTAGAAAAATTAAAAAAAATTCATTGAAATTGTGAGCTTTTTGCTCTGATTAATATTTTTTTTTTGCTGACGGCTGATAAAAATTTAGTGCAATTTATAAAAATTGGCGATGGTTTTTTTTTGTTTTTTTTTTTTCTTTGCTAACGGTCTTACGCATTTTCTCCCATAATAAATTCATGCTTGTATGGAAAAAAAGTGCAAAAAGCAGTCAGCAAAAAAAAAAAATATTAAAACTGAACGCGACTTCGCAGTCGCTTAAAACTTGACCTTTTTATACTCAAATTTACTGAGATACAAAATTGCATACCCAAAAAAATCTAAAAATTCAGTTTAAAAAAACACAAAATGCAAATGTTTTAAATTTTTCTAAACTCCGTACAAAGTTTGAAAGCTTGTTTTATATGGTTTTGGTTAAAACATGAACCTTGTTTGTATGAAAAAAATTTAACTTTAAAAACTTTGCAAACATTTAAATCACCATGTACTCATTTCTGCTTCCAACTGTAAGTCAAAATTTCAAACTTCGTACAAGTCGTATAAAAATTCGCACCAATTTCAAATCATCAAAATTTACAACTTTTTATTCAGACATAAAACAAAAAAAAAACATTGATGTATGCAGTTTTGTAGTCCATGCTTGATTTTTTTTTTTTTGCTGGCGGTGTCGTGCAGTTTCGTCTATGCAAAAAAATTTTAGCACATACATTCTTTATATGAAAGAAAAAGCTTGACACCGTTTGCTAAACAAAAAATTGCCAAAAATCAGCGATTAGTCCTAGCTATTTCAAACTTGTACTTTATGCACTAAAACTAAATTGGCTACAAAACTGCATACCGATTTTTTTTTTTCTAAAAATGCTAAAAAGTTTGAAATTTTTAAAAAACTTTTAAAAGTTTTCTTCACTTTCGTACATAGATTGAAATTCGGACGTACATGTTTTTTGTTAAAATGTAGTGTCAGTATTTACTTTTCCGCCACTGTATTTATGTATATGTGTGCACTTGCACGAGTTCGCCGTGGCCGGATGTTGGTCACGTACCATCGGGCGAGTGGCTATGAAATTGTTGTCGTTGTCATCGTCGTTGATCAGTGTTAGTTTTGCCATTGCCTGCGTTGCCGCTGTTGCTGCAATATAAATATTATTACACAACAGCAGTGGCGGCAGGAAAGCGCTGGCAACAACTATGTGCGTATGTACAAACATGAATACATACAAATACAAAGCCAACAGTATTTAAGACATGCACTAACAACAACATGCACAAATTGACTGCTATAAAACTGCGTGTGTTTGCTAATAACAACTGCACGTTCGACAATGATCATTATGATTATGATTATGGTTTGTTGATGCAACACTGCCACTAACCGTTGGCGTTGGCGAACAACTAACAGACAACA